TGGTGGAGCCTCCGTTGATGGTGACCGACGTCTTCGGAGTTCTATTTCTGCTTGCTCGAGCTTGGTCTGACCCATACGTCAAGTCATAGATGCAATTGGGTCCCAATGGCGAGTTCCCGTCCACATCTTCGTGGTTATAAGCGTGTAAAAATGCTGACGACAGAAAGCTACTGTCGGCGTCGATGCTGTTTCTAAAAGAGCCACTTCTGGTTTGTTTTGGCTGAGACGAAAAAGACAGGTATGCTGACTCCGACGCCAAGTCGTCGTTTAGGTCGTCATTGGCGTCCAAACTCCCTATGGACGGCCTATTTGAAGCCACATCCGACATGGTTCTACACGTGAGAATCGATCGCGAATGTAGGATTTGGGAATCGGTGCTGCTTTGTGCAGGTGCGAGCGAGCAATTTCTAGCTGAGAATTTCCAGCTGAGTAAGCTTCATTTCTTTCTTCACCATGTCAGACAAACAAGAGAAACCAAAACCATGCTGTGTGTGCTTGGAAGAGAAGAAGAAGCGTGACGAGTGTCTTCTTTTCAATGGCCAAGAGTCGGGAAAATGCAATGAATTGATTGCTCAGTACAAACAGTGTATGAAAGGTTTCGGATTTGAAACCAGATAGATGGAGATTGTAAATAGTGGTTTGCTGTAAATAGTCATAGATAACTGAAGAAAGATGAAAATGAATCTGATAGAGAAAAGGAAGAAATGAATGTGAATAAATGTGAATAAATGAATAAATGTACTACTTGTTGATGAAATGAATTATGTGAATACTTGCTCATGAAATGAATTATGTGAATACTTTAGAAGATAAATATGAACACATAGGTGTGATATCCATAATTCGGTCTTCACATTCAGCATTCATTTAGCTTCCTCGTAGCTAACCCATTTCTATGTACTTCCGTACGGCTTGTTATTTGGATGGAGCGGTTCTCGTTCGTTTGTTCTGTGAATAGCTTGGTCCTGGATAAAGTTGTCGATGAGAATGAGCTGAAGACAGTTCAATACGATCGGCACGATGAACATCACCACAAAAATTTCAAATTCATCCGGGTATTCGTCTAGCCACACTAGCAAAACGTGGCTGGTGATCCATAGAAGCTGGGTTTCAAAGCACTCAACAATTCCATATAAAATGAATTTTGTGATCATGAGAGAGAGAAAGTATATCCCAAGCTGCTTGGCGTAGGCTCGGAACGACGGCCGTCGTGGATCTGGTCCGTATTCTCCCGACTCAATATGGGTTATGTGAAGGTACTTTGTGGCAACTTTGTTCACTCCCTGGAACACAAGGTAGAGAATGTAAACTCCTATGGTGCAATCAAACACAATATTGAGAAAGTACCAGTCACAAGGATCATCTTCGTCTTCTGGTGGGTTCTTTCTGATGAAGATGGTGAACATTCCCGGCAGTGTTTTGATGATGGAGAGCAAAACATTGAAAACATGGACCCCTAGTGCTCCAATAAGTTGCTTGGACACATCAAACGCCCATACGGGCCACGTCCGTCGTATAGGATACTCATAAAACCTCTTTATTAGCAACGATGAAAGACATAAAAGTCCCAAAACTGCTTGTGTGACTAGCGAAAACGTACCCACAAGTTCACACTTGCCTCCGCCGCTTTCCAGCATCTTGGTTTTGTGAAAAACTGTAATTTTTGCTGGATTAAAATTGCTGGTTATTTGTCTGGGGAAGTAGCTAATTCAAAGAAATGGCTAAATTGCAAGCAAACAACCTTATTTGAATAACCTTATAGGATCGCAATGGCTTCTGGATGACTGATAGTACAAGAATATGCAAAAACACAATCTGTATAGTAATTACTCAACAATCTAATATTTGCCACAAGTAGCTGTTCTTCTCAGTTTCAATCACTTCGCATCTTATCAACTGTTGCTGCGCGTGTGCAGGAAAAAGAGGTGGATGGTTAATCTATGTATATACACAGTTTTATGTACAACCAGCTATGTGTGTCAGTTTGTAATAAGCTTGGTGACAGGTGGAGTGTGTACCTGTAATTTGATCCATTTCTGATTTGGAATAAGCTTCAGTGCCAGTTACATCTCTTGCAGATTCTTATCGCGTAACAATCAGAATCTCAGAATCTCTCCTTACGAGTCTCTTTTCTCAGGATCTATCCTCTCATAAGAATCTCTTCACTAGCCTTTAGCTTTCTCATAAAGAATTTTTGCTCTACGACCAGGCTCCTTCTGCTAGTCTTCTCTAATGGGTATTCTGTTTGTCTGTTCCTAAAAACAGCGACGACAACAGCTTATCGACGCCAGCCGTTCCAGATCCAAAAAACAGCAGTGAGAGCAGGCCAGATGAGGGCGGTTGTTTCGAAAGCGAAGTCAGCGAATGGCTCGGATTGATCGCACGTACTGGAGTAGGTTCAGCAATGGGGTACAGGTGTTGTTCCTGATCTCGTTCTGAGTGCGGAGTGGTACGGTTGAACACCTGTTGGGCCAAAGAATGGCTTGACCTTCTGGTGGAAATCGAGAGTCCGTCATCCGAATCCGAGTCTGAGTCGTCTTCGGAGTCGGAACCAGCAAATGGAGATTCTTTAACTGAGTTATCCGTTGTAAGTGGTATGCGACTGTTTTCACTATCATTTGCACTTAGTGACTCGTTGACAGTGCTATCAGCCACAGCAGTAGTTTCCGGTTTCCCTAGCGCACCATCGTCCTCGATTGTCTTGTAGTCAACGTTGGAACCCATGGCAATATTTTCAGGAACATCGATAACATCTGGGGTTTTTCTACCATAGATAGCATGATTGGGATCCACGGTATAAACGGAATTGTAGTCGTAATAATAATCGTAGCCACGACTGGTGCTGTTGTGCGATTGGCTCAGAGTATAAGGATTTTCGTCGTCGCTCTCTTCGTCAGAAGAACCCAAGTTGAGGGTGGTGGAAGGAAGTAGATGAATTGTCCTGTAGCTTTGCGACGTCGACACCGACTCAGAGACAGACGACGACGAGCCTCCGATTTCTGAGCTCGAAAGTGGAGGAACTGGAAGTCCTGGAATTGAAACACCAGAAGAAGGAGACCGCACAGAAAAAACGAACCCGTCGTCCTCGTCCGATTCTTCCTCCTCTTCGTCGTCTTCGTGTTGCTGGTCCTCGTAGACGTAGTCTTCGCCCAATTCCTCGTTGTAGTCGTAGTCGTCCGAGTCGTACTCGTCGGAAGATATGTGGTCGACAGCAATGCACTGTTGGACCTCATTATTGAAATGAATGCGTCGCTCTTTGGGATCTGGAGTGGGGTCTGCCGACGACGGAGCAAGGTCCAGGTACTTGTCCACGCTCACAAAGCTGGAGGTGGCAGCTGTGGGCATGAAGTATTGCGAGTTCAATTTGGCGGAAATGGCGTCGTAGTCATCAAACTCTGGAACTTCGTTGCCTCGAGTCTCCGAAGCACCAGCACCATCAGCCGCAGCCGCAGCCCGGTGGCCCGCTAGTTGTCTCTCGTGCATGCGACTGGTGGCTTTTTGGAGCTTCATAAGGTTGGCGTGACTAATCATCATATCTTGGACGGTTCTACGCTTCAAAATCGGCTTGGGACTTTTCGATTTGCTGGGCAACGAGATGTCGCCAGCCACGGCAGATGTGGCTGTTGTCGCGGCTCGATGGTTGTCCTCGTCACTGGGTGCGTCGTTTTCCTCATCTTTTAGAATTGGTCCGTATAACCACGTAACGTCGCTATCCTTAGACCAATTGACCACTTCAGGACTAATAGTCTTGAGGTTTCCACGGCGCTGAGCCCACGTTCTCCAGCTAGCATTCTCAAGTCGAGCAGCGTTGGGAACGTATGGTCGCTTTCGTATGACGTACCGCCAGGATTTGGAAATGTCCGACATGTCCCATTTATGCGAAAGATAATCCACATGGCGAGACGGTTCCAGACTTATATCCGTATCATCAAAGGGCAACATATCGGGACTGGTGATGGTTCCAGGCTCATCGTTGGTATCGTCTAGTGCACTAGTGTCGTCTTTATCATCAGTTTGTTCAGGATTCTGTCGGTCTTTCAAAGAATCAGAAACCTTTGGTTCGTCGTCCTTGTCCTTATCGGGGATAAATTCGTCTAGTACGCCCAACGAGCGTGTCCGCTTCAACCGAAACGTAGTATCTTCAAAGTGCTGATCGTCTTCGGCATCCACGTGCTGCGAGGTGGTGGCACCCCCCATGAAGACATCACCTAGATTTTTGGTTGACGACATGATAATTTGAGTTTGTAGCCAATGATACTAAAGCTTCACGGCCGCGAGTATATGCTGGTAGACTTTGGTAGTGGGCTAAAGACGGATAATATGCTGATTATACTGGTGTATCCTTATGAAGTGGTGGATGAGATTGCCAGGAAAAATAGTAGGTTTTGACTCGAAAATTCGCAACACGAAACTCCAGTGAAGACACAACCCCTCGTAGATTGTAAAAGTGATGGAACAACGGTTGATTGTGCTACAAATATGCCAATTATGACCTCAACAACGCAACTCCGAGTCGGTTCGGGATGCGGATTGGCCAGGTTTTTGAGTTGTGGAACCCTAGTTATTGGGTGCTTGTCTAGGACAATGAGTGTTTACAATGTTCGCAAACGCGCTGGTCTATTTGGTTTTGTTTAGGCCAGCAATCGACCCGTTCGATTAGTACACTGTATGGGGAAATTTTGAATTCGGGGAGCACATTTGTGACGGGGTTATCTGCAGGAGCGCGCTACTCAAAGTGGTGACTCGGCCAGCTGGTGAAGGACGATTGCAAAAAAGACAATGGGGAAAGTATGGAAAGCTCGAGTGCAGCAATATATAGTTTTTGGCTGGTGGATGGTGGATTTTGGGCAAACACATATGGCGATAAATATTGGTGGCAGATGACCTGGTCGGGTGCGACCGGACGGATACGGAAATGGCCGCACTAAAAACAATTAATCAATTGACAGGTTTCAGGGTGACGGAACATACAAGTTGCGGACGGTCAACTCCTATCAAGTGGCTCTGTGGCCGAGTGGTTTAAGGCGGCAGACTCAAGTTCTGTTATCGTAAAGATGCACGCGTTCGAATCGCGTCGGAGTCATTATTTTTTGGATCAAAACAAAATTAGGTTTGTTCTTTCTTTTTGGCCTTAGAATTTGGTGTTAATTGGTTAGCTAGCCGAATTTTAAAGCTGTATAGGTGAGCTTTTTTTGTGACTTTGATTTATCTCAAATTTTCAATTTTTGCATATTCTCTGAGAATCCAAATTTAACACTCAGATTTTGTTCCGAGATTATATTGGGCTAATGTGTGTTTCAGGTTCTTCCAGTCAGTCAGTTCCAGTATGCTTGATACATACCACGATTTTGCCTTCAATCTTGCTCAAAGTAATATTTTCGCACTGATCTAAATTTTCTGGTTTCGTACTTCTATGGTAATAATTTATGCCACTTATTGAGCAATGTAACATAATAACCCATTCGATGTAATATTCAGAGTTAATGACTGGTGGCCAGACATTCACAAAATTGTGATTTAAATTGGTTCTTTTTGATGTTTTTACATCTATTGTATACAAAAGTTACAACCCGAAAAATGGTTGCAATTTTTGAGATTATTTGGAAGGAAGTTGAAATCTGTAACGCCAACAGGTCGTCACTGCCGAGAAATATCTTCCAACAAGTGGCTCTGTGGCCGAGTGGTTTAAGGCGGCAGACTCAAGTTCTGTTATCGTAAAGATGCACGCGTTCGAATCGCGTCGGAGTCAATATTCTTTTTTTCTTGATTTCTACCCATTCACTTTTTTTTTATTAGTTTCTTCCTGGCCTATATGATTCGTAGCTCTTGTATCCTATGATTGCCTTCCTGGACACCGCTTTCAACTTATCGAGCGACGCTAGTTGCATTGTTAATAGACTCAATTCTGTGCTCAATAATGGCAATGAAATGTCGCTGGTTTCACTGTTTGTATCCAATACTCGACTCAATTGCACAATACGTCGTTTTACGCGCTCATTGTGTTCCATAGAGGTGGGGCTTGAGTCGGAAAATGCTAATATTTTGTTCACTTGGGTCTTTAAAATGTCAACCAGACGGTCCAACAGCACCTTTAATTGGTCGTATGTGTACCCAGAATCGTCAAATTTGGCTGAATCGTTGCCTGCAAGGTATTTTTCATTCCTGGCTATCGTTGTGCTCGCAATCATCTCGGTTTCGTCTGAGGAAAGTGTGAGTCCAGCCGGTTGCACCAGACCATTTTCCGTACTAAACGCAAGTATTCCACCCCCGGTCTGCAGTAACTGCTCTGGATCAACCAAGAGAATGGCTGGAGACGTTTCCTCGCCATAAAGATTTTTTAGGAAAGCTTCAAGTTGATGTAATATTTTCATCGTTCCCACCTCCATTGCACTATTAGATGTGAGAACATACAACCCAACCACCACCTTCTGGGGCCACACAGTGAGCATCTGGCGCAACCTGTTCTGGAAATATGCCATATCTATACGAATTTCACCGGAATTATTAGATGCTGTATTTGAAACAGTTGGAATCTCAAATCCAGTCTGTGCATATTTGACACCTTCACTTGCATCCAGACGTCCCAATACAATGCCATAGTTGTGCTCTTTGAAATTGCGGGTCACAAGCTCCAGAAAATGGAACAAAAGCGTGGGACTTATTTGCACTGAACTCATGCTAACGATTTTAATTTCTGAGGCTTTTGGAAATTGTTATCGCCGCCTGCAGTACCAAAAAAAATCGGTGTGCCTGCACATCACAAATTTCTACGCATCTTTGATGAGAAGAGGGGCATACTTTTGGAGGTTGTAGGTCATACACGTATTTTTCAAATCGGAAAGTTCTGAACATGATAATGTCTCTACATAACCCACTAGTACGAAAGCGAACGCTTTCCAACCCCACGGAACCTTCCAAAAAGCAGAAAAATGACTCCGATGACCATTTGAAATTTTCTGAAAAAGTTTACTCAGAATATGTAACTGCCGCTTTGGATGCTATCGAGCAGGTAAGTAGCTCAACAGGTGCCACAAAGTCTTCAAGTGTACTAATCCAGAACGAAACGAACCAAATCGACGGGTTGGCTGCCAAGATTAACCGACCAGCCGACCATGAAGAATCCATTTCCATTTCAGATTTCAGCATTGTTCTTCGAGTACTCATTCGCAATATCACTCGACTCGATAACAAGGCATGCCAGCATTTGGTCTCGTGCATCATAGCCTACCGATGGCTTGACGTCATCCTGACTCCTATCACCGCATCGAAAACTACGTTTCTTGACCTTTATCTGCATTTTCTTTCTGTTTTGGTAGCATCTCTTCCTCGCTACTTGAACGAGGTTCTTGGGAAGCTTGTGAATGAGTTTTCTTCGGTGGCAGTTACAAGTGAAACTTCAACCACTACTAGCAATTTGCACCATACAATCATCAAAGATATCCTCAAATATGTCCCCACAAGTGTGGGGTCGTTGCCCACAGCATTGACCAAGGGCTTCCCTCATCACCTAGCATCGTCTCCTGCCGAGTTGACCAACTATGTTGCAAATTTGCTCAAAATGCTCGAATATTGTCCGGAGTTGAGCTCTCATATTTGGCAGATGATCATCGAATCCAGCATCAAGCTCGATGTAGAGTTGCAGAACGAGTTGGACGACTTGGACGACGAAGAAATCGAGGATTTGATCAACGGAGAGGAGGAAAAAGAGGAGGAAAGAGATACCATTGGCATCGCATCGGACGAAAAAGATGAAGACGAAGAAAAAGAGGAAGACGAAGAGAATGACGAAGGAGCTTCGGATGACGAAGAGTATTTGCTAGATCCGGTTTCCTCCACCAGTGACATACGTAAACTTCTGCAGAAACTTGACTCTATTATTGAGATAATTCTAACTACCTCAGACTCCGAGTTCAGACAAAATGAAATTTCTACCAAAGGATTGACCATTTTCAATAGCTTGAGCAAGTTGTTCCAAACCCACATTCTCCCCACTCATTTTACAAAGCTGACCCAGTTTTTGCTTTTTCACATTTCCCAGAGTAAGGCTGAGCTTTCCGATGCATTTTTGGTGATGTTAATTGACATTGCATTCAAAGTCGACGAAATGGTGGAAAAAAGAATCAAAGCCATGCAATATCTCTCGTCATACATTGCACGAGCCAAATCGTTGTCTCGGGATCAAGTGGTTTTTGTCGTAAGCTATCTCATGGAATGGTTGAACCGATACGTGCAAGAACGAGAATGTGAAATTTCCGACTACGAAGATAACAAAACCGGCTCCAAATCTGTAGGAGGCATGGAGAGGTTCAAACTCTTCTACGCAGCTTTCCAAGTGTTGATCTATGTCTTCTGTTTCAGACATCAAATGCTACTTAATTCTTCTGGTGAATGGGAATGTGAAATCGACCAGTTTTTCCAGCGGGTTATCGTCACCAAGTTCAACCCACTCAAGTACTGTGACGAAACCGTGGTGTTCATCTTTGCCAAAATAGCTACAAAGATGAACGTGTGCTACTGCTACTCCATCATTGAGCACAATAAGAGAGAGAGAATGCTTCTGACCAGAGGAAAGAATAACTTACCTTCTGCAGTCTACAACTTCAAACTGAAGCAGGAGTTTTTAGATCTCGAAGCATACTTTCCATTTGATCCCATAGTGCTTCCAAACAGCAAAGAAATTATTAGTGCTAATTATATCGAATGGGCAGAAGTGAACCCTACTGAAGACGACAACGAAGACGAAGAAAGCGGAAGTTATGAACAGGACAGCGACGAGTCGATTACGAGCGAGGAGGATGATTAACGATCAGTAAATAGAAATGGTACATTATACATAATAGTCTACACTAGTTTGTAGATCATGGTATTGTGCTAGGTAGAATGGTATCGAGAATGACAGAATATTGCCAAATGAGCAATGCTAGATTGCTAGGTTGCTAGGCTGTTAGGTGAATAGCGTAGCTCGAAAAAATCCGTCGATGAAGAAAAACAAATGCTAAGGAACGTAATGCAATTTTGAAAGTTAACACTCAACTGCTTTCAACACAACAAGCTCAACTTCGGAACATTGACCTCCAATACTTTCATCATACAAGTTGTAAAAGTCTCCAGACAAACACTTGTAGAAGGTGGTTTGCTTTCCAAGAGCCAACTTGCCCCACTTGAGATCATCTCTCTTGTCCTTCTTCTTGTCTTTCTTCTTGTCTTTAGAATTCTTCTCGTCCTTCTTCTTGTCTTTAGATTCCTTCTTGTCCTTCTCTTCATTCTCGCCCTTCTTCTGATCATCGGCCAATTGCTTGGTTTTGCTGTCCTCCTTGTAGTCCAAAGGAACGATAGACCAGCCTGCAGCGTAGATGGCACCAGCTTGAGGTGGAGGACCGTCGAATTGGAATTGACGGTTTGCAACAATAGAGCCAATACGGCCCTTACTGTCCTTCAAAACTCCGTTCTTGAGCGTCACAGTCAACGAGTCGGAAGAAACACAAGTCTCTTCAAAACCGCTGTCGGAAGAAGAGTCGTTACCCGATGAACTAGAACCAGAAGCCTGGACCTGTCCATCGCTGACTTGAGTAGCCTGACCAGCTTTGGTCTGGTGTTGAACCTGTCCATCGGAGAGCTGCTCGGCGACAGACTTGTGGGCTGGAGCAGTGGTCTGGTGTTGAACTTGACCATCCGAGATCTGGTTCACCACAGAGGCAGTAGTTTTTGTTTGCTGTTGGACCTGACCATCAGAAATCTGGTTAATAACCGCAGCTGTAGTTTTGGTTTGTTGCTGGATTTGACCATCTGAAATTTGGTTCACCAAGTCAGCGGTGGTTTTGGTTTGTTGCTGAATTTGCCCATCAGAAATCTGGTTGATTACAGCAGCAGTAGTCTTACTTTGTTGCTGAATCTGACCATCAGAAATCTGGTTCACCACGGCAGCGGTGGTCTTGGTTTGTTGCTGAATTTGTCCATCGGTGATCTGGTTCACCACAGACTTGGTAGGAGCACTTTTCTGTCCTCCCTTAGAGTTTTGCTGGATCTGACCATCGGTGATCTGACCAACCAAATCGTCTCTCTTCTCAGCTCCCACCTTTGAAG